TTTTTTTTTTTTTAATTCATTCTCTAGTTGTCTGTGGATAACATATGGAGATGCAATTGATGTTGGATATTCACTTTGCATCCTGCAAGTTTTATACAATTTTTATTAGTTCCGGTCTTGTTTTTCGTAATTTCTTTAGAAATTTCTATGTGACAGATTATGTCATCTTTGAATAACTACTTGACCTCCAGTAGTTATACCTGTTCTTTTCCTTTTCATAATGCACTGACTAACATCTAGTACAATTTTAAATAGAAGTAGGGAGAGGGCACCTTACTTTGCTTATGGGTTTATTTGGAAAATTTCAATGTTTTCCCACTAAGTATGTTGTTAACTAGTGTTTACATCTTTACCAGTTTCTTAAAAACTGTCAGTTTGATAGATTGTCATATCTGCTTCTACGTTTAATCTGTGCTAATGTTTTGTTTTGGTTGAACTCCACAAAACCTAACTGTAAAGATATATAGTTGAGAACGAGAAAAGTATTTATACTGTTTTCTAATAACTTAACTTTCTTCTTTGATAGTACATTCAAACTAGATAAAAGGTAAAGATTATTTTCAGTGTGTAACCTGAAACATTATCAATGAATTTTTCATATTCTATTACATTAAAAGGCGCTGGTCTATCCTATGAGTGCCTCCTACCTGAGCATAACTTTGGACAGGTTGCTTTGGCTATTTGAAATATACTTTTTCACTAGACTATGCATATTTTTCTTTCAAACCCAAGATACAAATATTAAAAAATTCACATTCAAAATTTCATTATAAATCTCAGCTAAATCATGAAGTACTGAGAAGCTATTGATCTCATGGGTTACAGATTAAAGTTTTCTAAGGTTCTAATTTTTTTCATTAAGTACTCAAATTTTATCATATTTTAACAACAAAGATGGTCATTGTTTAACTTGAGATGACACACCTTCTTTGCTAAATACACAAGTTGGAATAATAGGTTAACTGTCATGCATTCTTTCAAATAAAAATGATGCTTCATTTAAAAAAAAAAAAATGACAACCCAGTTCAGTTCCACAAAGCACTTTCCTGTAATAAACACTGTACTTAGAGGTGCTGATTGCCTATTTCTTAACTGATCAGAGAGTTTTTAAAAACACGTATTTGATGGTACAGACTTAATAAATTAATAGCTTTTAACAGTTTCATCAAGGATGATCGAGTGAGACAAGCATTTTAAAATTATTATTATGGTGAAAGCTCACTGGTAAAACAAATATACAGACTGCTAGACAGTTTGGAGCCACAGTCTTGATCTGCAGGGAGGAATCAGCAGTGTTACTCACCATTGCTTTTGCATCACCAGTGCAAATATCAACATCGAGAAGATGACAAATAGCATCTTTGATTATTGTGAAAATAATTTGACCTTAAGGACTCTTTGAAGAAGGTCTATTCGCCACAGTTTAAAACCTCTGTCTTAACCTAATCTTGAATGCTTTATGGAGTAGCTTTCTTTATCTTTGTGGATGGAGCTTCACTAGCAATTTCACCATGTAAATTTGCTGAAGTGCTCTACTATTTTTTTTTTTTAAGATTTATTTATTCATGTATACAGAACTGGGGTACAGGCCAGAGGTGCAGGGATGGTGGGAGGATTCACCAGAGACAGAGTGGGGAGAAGAACAGGCAGCGAGGTCGAAGTACACTGTTGAGGAGAGCAGCTGGTGGGTCAGGAGAGGCCTGCTGTACCAGCACAGGGATGGAACTCATACTGAGATGGCTTTAGCTTCTTAGTGCTGTGCTTTAAGCTGCTGCGCCACCAGGGAGGGTCAATTACTATGTTTTTACTAAACTTTTATTTTAAAAGTTTTCCTTTCAGGAGAGTAAGTTCTCTAACTTTATCCTTTAGTTTTTACTCCCCTAGATCCTCTGCATTTTCATAAAAATTTTGGAATCATTTTGTCAGTTACCTCAAAATATAATCTGATATTTTATTTATTAGAATTGATTTGAAGCCAGAGGTCAATTTGAGAATGGACATGTCAAAA